ATTTACGTCGCACTAGAGCTGCACAATGGGCTATTGGCGACGGTCTGGGAATCACCCCTGAGGATGATACGAAGAAATGCCATCACAATTTTGATCCTCTGCAGAGGGGATGGCTCCCCCGCTTCGGTAGCCCAACGACCTGCGCGAAGTCGAGCACTTTACGGTAGCACAGTTTAACGAGGACCAATACCACACACCCTCGGTCCCTACGCAGACTGATCCAAGTGGGTCACCCACCCACACACTGACCGCAGCCAGTGATGCTTGACTTCGGTGATTTGCTGAGAACCGTGTCTTAATGACCCAAATTCTGCAAATTTTTGTTTTTAGTTCTCTACCGCTTTTTTAAATACTGTGCCTTGTCCGGAGTAGTTGGTATCTCTGCATTAACTCCGTTTTTTGCTCTGAAAGAATAAAATCAAATGAATTTCTGCTCTAAAAAATATCAAATACCGATTACAGCTTTTCCAACTACCGATTGCAGAATAAAGTGGTTGTTAAATATTAACATGTAAAAATTTTAAAATCCGGACTGTTATGTTTCTTCAGAGACTCCAACAGAGTTCCGAGAGTTAAATTTAACTCATAATTCCTGGTTATTATTAAATAGGATACTTAAGTTTGGCACGTATTACCTTTGTCAGAGTATTTAGGTGAAAGTTGACTCTTTAATAACATTTCCTACGTGGAAAAAATTTGAAGAATTTTGAGGAAGGCATATCTTAATTTCTAACATTAGGGCAGATTAGATCTCCCCCCCCCCAATATATAGTTTAAAAGTTTTTTTAAACTATTCTGTGTAAAAACAATTTCTCCAATAAAATTAGTTATATATATACCAAATTGTACGGCCGTTAGGAAGATGTTTTCTCAATGATAACAATTTTAATGTTTAAACGTGTAAATCCTAATTTTATTAGTTAAATTTTAAATTGTTTTTCCTGCCATTAAAAATTAATAATTCAAACATATCTATGTAAAATAAATTAACTGGGCAATTATTGAGAAATCATTATTAAAGCACTGGCACTGTGGGCAAAGTAACTTGACTTTAAGAAAAGTTTTAGCAATTTTGTGTATTATTAATACTACCACTTCGTAAAATCTTTCAGAATGACTAACACTACTACAACGTATAAGTTGGCGAATGTAATGAATTTGTTTTTGCTTGTAATTTAATTCCAATATATTGCACATTATTTTATTTAATAACCAGCGTTTGGCAGCCGATCCAATTCTGAGTTAACGACTATAAAAATGTTAAATTCCGTAGCCTTGTAATTTTGAACACAATCCAGAGGACAAGAAAACTCCTGGATCAAGTATTGAGACAAACTAGCCTTCGCGGAGGACTTTTTGATGGAACTAACCTTCATTTGTGTTACATGGAGAGGAAAATCACGAAAACTTCTACGGTTAATGCGACGCCTAAGGGATTCTAACTCTTTGATCGGTCTACCACTGAGGGTATTTTATGTCAGCACTGTGGTCGGTGTGAGACGGAAGCAGAATTCGTTTCGGCCAGCCAAACGCTGGGATTCGAACCTGGGTACCCTCATTGGGAGAGATGAGCGCTCTATCTTTTAAACCACCGCAGCTCAATGGACAATATAACTTAAATTAGTTCTAAGTATACTTTTAAGCAAACACTGAACGAATAAAATAAAGTATTATGTTACTCCCCCCAAAGGAGTAAGTTGATAACAAAATAGTTCGATTGCTATTTTTTTTTTTTTTTTACATTCGATCACGACTACCACAAACCCGCATATAATTTATTTCACTTAATTATTGTTTTATATATTTATTTGGTTGCTCTATAAATAATTTTGGTTAGTTAACATTTTAAAAAATATATTCTAGTTTAATTTTTTTTAGTCCATGTAATAAAGAGTTCAAATAATAAAACAAAAAAAAACTCTTTCCGTTTGTTTTGCTTATTGACAAGGCTGCTGAGCGTTTAATGGCGTCGTGCGTATTATAATAATAGTGAATAAACAAACCACATGTATTGGAATAAAATTTATTTAATTTTATAAGATTATAGATAAGATATCACGAATCAGTGGTCTAATAAATCATTGTGCAAACACTTTGCTGGATGAAGGTTCGTTTAGTGATATATATTATTTTTTTATCTGTGGGTCAGTCCAAAGTAATACCTCATTTTAAATTTCTTCTGCGACGTTCTCTCTTTCCAAATTATGAACTAAAGCCAACTGCATGGATGAACACCAAGAAAGATCTGAGTAGAAAATGAATGAGCCCTAACAAAGAGTCCATGTAGCGAGGCATGATGATAGAGACTAAATTGAGCTGCTTTATGCTGCAGCTTTTTCCATCTTGATCATTTCCAAGATACCATCTTGCATTTCCTTGACAGCCTGGTACTCAGTCAAACCCATACGCCTCTTGTTGGAGATATCATAGACTCCACCTTCACTCTCAGTGTGCTCACCTCGAGTTCCTGAAATTCATAGATTGGATTTAATGCAAGAATGGAAATTTAAAAAAATTAGTACTAAACCATGTTACTGTACATGGTTTAGTGCGCATTAGAAGGGCTGGCAGATGAAATGTGTAAGGGACATTTTTTCAGAATGACTTCAATTATAGATAAGAAGAAAAAAGTGGTATCTAAAGTATTTTGTTATGGATTTATAAGATGGCGGGCTAACAAATCGGAGTCTCTTATAAAAAATTAAATAATGGTAGCATATTTACTTTAAACTATCAAATAAAAGTTTTAATTTACCTTAATGCTAATAAAACACTAAACTTCCACCTCTCACTTTAAACTAAAAATAACGCCGCAACCATTTTTAGAACTTACTATTATTATTAATCTTGTTTTAACTACTGTCTTAGTTAAAATATCTAATTTTGTCCAGAAAATAAACGAAAAATGTCATTAGTATTATTTGGAAAAGCATTTTTCGACAATTTTTTTTGGGGGGGGTGATTTGAATATATTTAATAAAGAATAATCTAAAATAGTATTTCTTACTCTGCATTATTAGAAATTATTTTTACACATATTTTTTAAGTTTTAAAACTTGCTGATTTATGTTCTGAAAGACAAATGGAAAAGCGAAATTTGAACAATGGAAACTAGATTACCTTATACGAACCCATGAATTTTGTAATGCTGATTGTTTTTTTATTATATTCAAGAAAGTCAGTTTTTAAAGTTTTTTTCCCCCTTTACCACATACCAATAATACAGGTAAGTTTTTATTATTTTTCAATAATAACAGAACTTATTTATATATAAAAATAATATTTATTAATGATTATTAAAAAAATCTTGCTATTCAGCCGAAAATTCGGCTATTTATCCAAATCACTGTTCGTTAATACTCTTCAACGTATAATATCCATACATATAATAAAATAGTAATTTGAAAACATAATTAGGAATAAAAGTAATTTATTTTTGTTGCTTTAAACTAAAGAGATGGATAATGGAATGGAGAGAAATGTCTGTGTTATTATATGCAAGCATTACTTTTTTCATAAAGCATTTTATAACGCAAGCATTACTTGTTTCACTTAATAAACAGTGCATTGGGGCCGAGATAGCCTGGTTGGCAGGGCAGTGGAATCACGTTCGTGAGAATGGGAGTTCGAATCCAGCTGGCCGAAGATTCCCCGTGTCGTAAATGCTGACTGGTTTACGTTAAATTTGTCGGATCACAAAGTTATCCATGTTCCCATAAAGATCGTTCTCTGGTTCAGGTTAAAATAACGATCTGTGGATGAATGAATGGATCCGCCCTGTTAAATGGGTGTGACGTATGGGTGAGGCAGAAGTCGAAGTCTTGGCCATAGATGGCGCCACTGGAAATATAAACAATCGCACCCCCTCTGCCTTAATGGCCGACGACAACAACAACTAAACATTGCAAGTCAAAAGTGAACACGTTATCCGTACTGCCCGACCTACAATAATGGGAGTCGTGGTTCGATGCTACAGAAAGATTATTAGATCCTATAGTAGCTGGTAATCTCTGTGAAATAAATAACTTCAAGAAACTGACGCGAAAAGATATATTTGATGCGGAAAAACTGTACCGATGTATTTATTTAATTATTCTTTGACAAAGATAAATATTTTATAAAATTTAAGTTAAATGTAGCAGTAGAAATGATATAAAAGACGCATTGTGATGATCGTCCTTTATCCGTATTTTTTAAATTCTTGCAAAAAAGTATGCACATTAGAGATGACAAACTAATATTTAAGAGAACAAAAACAATATTAAAATCTTATGAAACCCAACCAGTTTTCATCATGCAGTCAAACTGGTTTTGACTTTTGTCAGTTCACTTTATTCACTAGTAATTCGGTAGATTTTGATAGTGTGTTTATTACTTCTTACTCATTTTAATATTAATTTGCCATTCCTACAGTTTATACTTTTTTTACTTTACTTTAGACATGGTTTTGAATGGGAAACGTTAAAGGTTGTTGTATGTCAAAGGTTGGGTACATGGACAACATGTTTTTTCTTATTGAATCTAAGATCTACTTTTAACATGTTTTAAGTTACTTCAAAAGTTTTAGCTTAGACTTAAATTACGCGTATGAAGGACATGCATTCTGGTAGCACAATTGGTGAAGGCGTGGCTCACACTGCTGGTGGAGAGCCGGAGGTCGTGAGTTCGATCCTTACAACTGACCAAACAACTGGCGTGTATTTGCACGCTAAATCTAGTGACGTGGAAGTTTGGATACTTAGGTGTACCAGCTCATGCGCTGTTCCTGTCGTCTGACCGAGGTCAAAATTACGTAGCATTCCTACCAGGACTGTTAAAAGATTTGAAGTATGTTAGTTACTTCACTATGGATAGGGTGATGTGTCATTGAGGGATAACTAAGAAAATTAAGAGTCTTAAAAATTTTGTTTGATTGATTTCATTACCTCTGACTTGGAGGTTGAATTTGGCGGCAATGTCTTCTAGAACCTTCTTGTCCTTGGCAAGTTTTGGCAGAGCAATGTGCACTGATGCTCGGATGGTTGTTCCCAAATTGGTTGGGCAGAAAGTAAGGTAACCCAAGCGGTCATCTCGGGAGAATGGCAGTTTGGATTCAATGATGTTGACGGCCTAAAACAAAAACAACTTTTTAACTTGGTGTGTTTTAAAATTATTTTTAAAAACATTATTTTTCACAAAAGCGTATTTTCTCTCTTGAATGAAACAACAGTGTATTCTAAATTGAAATTGAATAATTAGAATTAATAAAATAAATATTCCTCTAATTGGAAATTATAACAGGAAAACAGTTAAGGGTACAAACACAATTTTTGCTACCAATTAATATGACAAAAGAAATAAATTTCTTCTCCCATAGTTTCTGCTTTTAATTCAAATTTTTTTCAAGAAATAGCGTTTAAGTTCTACTATACTTTTTCGGTTGCACTTAGATGGATAAAAAATTTCTTTTTCTTTTTTCATCACGCAATTGTGGCTGATGGTAGAAATTTTGAAAATATCTTACTACAAATAAATTCCTTGAAACATTTCGAAAACTTTTATTATTATTTTTATTTGTTTCTGTTTGATGTACTGTTTGCGGGCAGTGCTATCTGGTGAAATATTTTTGAACTAAAACAAGCATTCTGGGTAAAATCGTTATACCCTGCCACATACATTTCTTGCAAAAAATTTTAACCTAAGACGTTATAAATAAATAAAAACCCTGAGCCTAATTTAGGATACCCTTTATATACTACCTACGATAGCATGAATGAAATGCTTCATATGACTAAAATTTTCATCCGAAAACAATCGTGTCGGAAAATGTTTCAGCATTTTTGTGAATTATGAACTTGCCTGCTGCTCCAGTTTTTACAATAAAATTTTAAAAAAGCGGTAAAAAACCATAAATTAAAATTTGCAAAATTTTGATTCCTTTTTCTAATTTTTTAAAAGTTAACCATGGAATAACAGTTATAAAGTGGCGTTTTATATAAGCATTTAAATTCTTAAGAAGTAGTGATGCTAGGGAAAACCCTTTAAATGGAATAAACCTAGACTCATACATTAAAACATAAATTTTGCTACCATTAGAAAATATAAGCGCACATGGCGGAATAGATTGACATATCTGGATCTATTACTCTGGGGAACAAAATTTTGTTCTATATATGGGTCATTCTCACAAAAACAGTCATTTTCATGTCCCCAGTATATTTTATGTTTGTTTTACAGCTTACGAAAAAAAAAAATTCAGGGAAAGTGTCCTTCGGAATGCAAGCTAACAAAAGAATGAAAATAAAATTATCAATTTTTATTTTTTATTTATTTTAGGTAATTAAAATATACCAATATGTCATTCCCTCACTTGTCCCCACTGCTGATTTAAAAGAAGAAAAAAATTGTTTCTGAAATAAAAAATTTTTTTTTACAAATTTGTGTTTTTTATTTGAGAATATTGAAATATAGAATTCAGAAAATAAATTTTAAATTTAATTTCTGATAAAAATATTAACACAGCACTATTTTAAACTTTGTCCCCAGTGTTTCGCGTCATTCCCTCACAACAATGTTCTTATCACCTGCAATCATCTTAGAATAAAAATATTTTAATAAAAACTTCAGAAGTTAACAACTGGCATCATAGAACAAAATTGCAGTATGTTTCCATCTTCAACTTAAAGAAGCTTTGCTGTGGAATAAATTTGAATGAATCAAACCAGGTAAAANACATAGAACACACAGAGAGAGAAAGTAACATCCATGCCTAGCCCGGGATTCGAACCCAGGACCTTTCTGATGTAAGGACAGTTCCCTGCCCCCACCACAGGCCGGTCGGCAACTCAGGATTTGAAATCAATTTAAGACCTGAACTCAAATAATCATTTAAGGAATTATTATTTCAGGAAAATTTTCGTGTTAATAGTCTTCGAGTTAACAAAACTTTTAACAAAATTTAACATAATCTTTGGAAAAAGAGAAATGCATAATTAAATTTTAAAAAGAGTTAGATAAATGTGCATTTATAAAAATTTGAACAATTACTTTATATTCATTTTTATATAATTGTGTGCAGATTTTTTTTGGTAAAACTTTGTTTCTTCCAACAAAATACTCTTAAAGTTTCTTTAGTGCAGAAAATATTTAAGCTTCAATGACCTAAGAACTGGATCATTAAATTTGAAACTTAGATAAAACTCATAGCTAAATACTACGAAGTAAAATTGCAAGTACTACTTTGCATGAAAAAAAAAACATGGATTTTCTGCAGATTTGTTCACTCTTTAATAGATCAGCTTTCCTTTTAACAAAATAATGGAATGAATATGCTTTATTACTTTAACCCATTAATTTGGAGTAGTGAAAATTTTATTGTTTGCTTTTATTAATATTCTTTTTTAAAACTATTCTCTTCATTAGAGAAATTTTTATTACATTTATATGCTTTATTTGATGTAGTTTTCTTCAAACAATGACTAGTCATCAAAATTGAATTAAAATATAAACTTTGCTTGGGCAATAAGGAATTATTCACAAACTGAGGTAATTATTTTAACCTCTACAAAAATAAAATTAGTTAGCCTTTTTAATAACTACCACTTTATTTTTCAAAATTAATTGATTAACAATTTTTATAGCGCTATTTTTAGATTGTCATTTTGGTGCTATTATAAACTAATTAACAGTGCAAGTAAACCTTGCATGAGGAAGAAACATATATTTTTTACTCATTTGGTTATGGTCTTTTATTGATGGCGGAATGAAAAATATTTTTTACTTTAACATATTAATTTGTTTGCTTTATTAATCTTTTTCTTTAAAACTCTTCTCTTCCTAAAAAAAAAGGATTTCAGAGATGCCAACTTGCTCCGGACAGCAAATATATATTTTAAAGTGGTATTTTATTAATTGTGATTCTTGGTTTAATAAATTCAACTTAGTAAATTTTTATCCACCACTATTTCGAAATGATTCGTGGGCTTATATAATTCACCACTTTATAGTACTTGTGACGTGCGATACCTTTCAAAAAGCAAGCAAAAATAGTCAAATATTTGTAGTTATCTACCGTTTTACTAATTATTTTGGCTTGTCCGAAGCAGTTGGCATCTCTGGCGGAGATTCCCTTGAGTAGAGTTGTACTTATTATTTCTTTTCTTAAATTTAAAAATATATATATTTTAAAATTGAACTTATAGTGGTAGACAAGTGAATAAGACAAACCAATCAAATTCATAAATTAAAAAAATTTTTAGACATATATTTGCTACCACTTTCTTATTTTCACTGGATTTTCTATTAAGTGGTCAGATCGGACTACCTGTAAGATACCGTATGAAGGCTTTCGGTTGTAGGAGGAGTCGGAAAAGCTCAGCAAAGGCTGTTAAAAGCTAGGAAGTTTAAAATTTTCGAGTATAATTTTTCCCATACAACATCAACCCTTGAATTTAGGAATAATCCAGTAATTAAAAAATTTTACACTAAATAACTGATTAGGTAATAATTTTTTTTCTTGATTCCGGTGACCTACAAGATACTTCTAGAGCAAATATAAATGTTCTGTAAGCTTTGAATTTTAATTTCTAAAGCGTAGGACAGTGTCGATTAAAATATATTATAAATAGGTTAAAAAAAGCTGGCTTCTCGATATGGCGAAGTTGATGCGTATATCGACTGTAACACTTCGCATCGTGCATTTTCTAACGCTAGTCCGACGGAAAAGGTAAAATCGGGGATCCACTGAATTTATTTAGATTTTTAAGACACCAAAAGTAGAATAATACAATCGAGTGTTTTGGAAAGAATGAGTTTCTTTCCTAAAGAAGTTATTTAAAATTTAATAAACTTCCTTAATTTTAGCTTCTCATTACAAGTTTTCATTGCAACTAAATATGTTTTAAGTTTATTAGTCTTCAGATTTAGGTTTATATAAGTTCCCAAAATCAGTGGTAAGATACATGAGGTACCCTCTCAAGGAATCAAAAATATTTTGCAATAATTAATTTATAAGTGCATGAAAGAGTCTCCTGAGTTCTGTGAATATAGTTTTGTTATACTTGTGTTCATCATAAGCCGATTTTTGATTATTAACTTTCATTAGAGTTTTAGAAATGCATGGTGATTCAAAATTGTCTAATGTCTAATAACATTGCAGTTTAGTTTGTTTTGTTTCCTTAGCGTCTCTTTAGTCATCCATTGCTAAAATTGTAAACAGCAATATTGCTTTATATGTGTCTTGCGTTTTATTTTACTAAGCTCAAAAATCGAATTGCTTTCATACAATTTAGAACCCGATAAATTGATGTGGTTATTGTCTGCTTGTGGTATAGCCAATATGTACAATGTAGAAGGTTATTAGACTGAATATAGGATCAAACTCACACCATCTACTCTCAACTGGAAAAGCGAATCATCATCATTACTCAAAATAATAGCGAACCAGGAGCGATTTAGATGCTTTTTCTTGTTGGTTTAATTGTAGCTTTTTGGTTAAAGTTGTAAATGACACGTGAGAGTTAGGTTTGCAAAGACGTTCGTGAGTACAATTCAGGCAGCCAACTAAACAATCGCCGTGTATATGCAGTCATAGCTGCCAACTTGTATGGTCTTAGATCTTTTTCAAAGTAAGAGTTTAACCTTTTCGTGACGGCCGAGTCATAAATGTATTCGCGGGGAATCAGAATGGTAAAATATGAAAAGTGGTAGCTTAAGTCTGCCCACAAATAAACTGTAATAAAAATAGTTAGGCTACCAGTTTTATCCATTTTACCCTGATTGTCGCCACATTGAGAATGCATATTTGACTCGCCCGTCTCGAAGAGGTTAAAAATACTTAAGGTGTTACGAATTTTCCTGAACTTAAGCTACTTAGCAAATACTTAAAAGCATAGTTATCTTTACCATATATTTTTATCATAATATAGTCATCATATATTACCAAAGTCATCATATATTATCAAAGTCACCATATATTTTTATCATGCTACAGTTAGCAAGGTGTATGTTAATCTGCTGAGATTGAAAGACCTATCATTGTTTGTGGTGTAGAAGTTTGAAGAAAAAAGTCCCAGCTATGGAGCTGTCCCTGTAGTCTGATCAGGATCATAATTACGTGGTATTCCTACCATAGCCTACCATGGCCGTTAGTGATGATTCGAGGAAAATACTGACCATGCATGCATTACCAATGACAGTCTACTATCATTATCTGATAATGATCTAACTTGTAAACTACCACAATTTAGATCACAATTTAGATGAGATAATGGTAGTAAACTGACGATCTCCACACCACACTCCCCATACACTTAAGAAAGTGGAAGCTATTTCATTTGTTGCTGAAATAAAATCATGAGATAACTTACAGCTTCAGTCAAGCAGGGGTTGAAAGCGTATCCCTTCAAGCTGCGTCCACATCGGACTCGGGTGGAAACGACGTATTCACCAGTGGGGTCAACATTGACTAGGGTGTTAATGTCTCCAAAATCAGTTGGTGGATGTTTGTCGGTTGGCTTGAAACCTTCATGGTAGTCCTCGATGATTGGATTAAAAATAGGGGCGAAAAGGGTATAGGCCTCGGCATCGGGGGCATAGATACCGACTCCACTGTCCAAGTTTTCAACACCTGAAAGCGAGAACATTTAAAATTATTGGGAAGTAATCCTAATGATTCTCTTAATTTAAAACAGATAAAACACGAGCGTGTGATTTTTATACAGTTTTTCTCACAAAATAACATACTCTTTTATTTTATTTTGAAGTCTTAAAACTTTCAAAAGTATACATTTTTTTAATAAAGTTGCATATGCAGGAGCAACTCTGCATATGCAACAGGAGCTCTGTAACAGGAGTCTTACAGGAGCTCTGTAAGTGCTGTACATATAACAGCACTTACAGAGATGCCAACTTGCTACAGACAGCAAATATATATTTTAAAATGGTTGTTTATCAATTGTGATTCTTGGTTTAATAAATTCAATTTAATAGATTTTTATCCACCACTATTTCTAAGTAATTCGTAGGCTTATATAATTCACCACTTCACATTTGCAAAATTAACTTAGTAGTTATTTAGTTTTTTTTAATTATTTTTGCGTGCCTTGAGCTGTTGCCATCTCTACACTTAGAAAGCATTGTAATTATATACCACAAGAAAAGAAATGGAAATATGAGATATATATTTATAAAATATTCTAGTATTTTATTTTTCAATACTCGAACTAAGTAACTAAAGCCTTCAAAATCTGACACTCTGACATCAATTGACATTCTGCGTTTGTTCTTTCTATTATTGCTCATCGGAAACAGTTTTTTTTTATCGCTTGTTTCATTTGAGATAACCATTTCGGATAATGAATCGAAGTACTGTCGGTACATTCCTATTTATTATTGATGTGATGTTTACTCAAAATTTTGTCTAAATTACGAAAGCGTCAAATTGACGCATATCCGTAGAGATAGGTATACCACAAAGAGAATTTCAATATTTCAACGCTTTTGAAGAAAATAGACTTCAATATATATTTACCCCGATCAATGGATAAAAGTCATTACAAGAGATAAAATAAAAATGCAAACGGNTTGGTTTCGGCCTCAACGTAATCAGACATTAGCTTATTATTGTAAAAATTCAGTTTAATCTAATACTTGTAAGAAAATTAGCAAGTATAAGATTCTTGAAAATTATACATAAAAACTTTATGTTATTTAAATTTGAAATTTATTCAGTGATACTAAAAAATGGAATAAATCCCTAAACAGTTCAGCCAATAACTGTTAAAAAAATTCTTTATTTTTTATTCTTTGTTGTGTTCTTTCAATTGAGCTTTTTCGCTCGAAACAAGTTTAGAAATATTTTAGAAAATGGTCTCAGTGATTTCCCTCCATTTACTTTCTTTTTTAAATATAAAGAGAACACTTAGATTAAAAATATTCCGCAGATATGTTACAGTTATATTCTGCAGATGGGACAACACAGATGATTCGAAAGTTCATATAAAACACCACTTTAGTCCATCTGTTACGGGGGCCTTCCTGTCCGAGCGGTATCACCCGTCAAACGCGCTGTTAAGCATGTAGGTGGCGGGTTCGAATCCCGCCTTAACCGTGGATGCATTTTTTGTGACGTTCTTCTACTTGAAAAGGTTTATAAGCATTAATTGAGCACACATGTATGTAGTACCAATAAGTAAATAAATACTATCTGTTAAGTGCTATGGCTTCTAAAATATTGGCCAAATTACCGAAGTTCTTTAAGTTCATAAACATTCATACTACTGTATAAAATGTTTTGGAAAACGCGCAGTAGTTTGTAGCCCTGCTTTCCCCCCAGTATTTGAAGTTTTGGCAAAATATTTATTTTCAACGATAGTAAGGGCTGGGATAACCTGGTCGATAGGGCGCTGGGCCCATGTCCGAGAGTTCATTGGTTCGATCCGAGCCGGCCGAAGACTCCCCGTATAGTAAATGGTGACTGATGCACGTTAAATCTGTCGAGTCGCAAAGTCCTCCACATTCCCATAACAAATCAATACCTATGGGAGTACTGGATTGGAGACCGATCGTTCTCTGATCCAGGTCAAAATTACGATCTGTGAATGAATGAATGGATATATGAATGGGTCCGCTCTATAAACGGGTGTGACGGTAGTCAAACTCTTGGCCATAGATGGCGCCACTGGAAAACAAGAACAATCGTACCTCTTTGCCTAAACAGGCATAAGTCAACTACAACAAAACGAGTAATCTCAATTGTTCCACTTTCAGCAAAAGATTTAATACATTGGTGAATAATTAAAGACTACATTACTTAAAAATTGTTTCGTTAATTTTGCTTCATAGTTTAAGAAGCTCACTACGAATTGCAAAATCAGAAAAGGCAGTGATACGACATGCGTCTAAAATATAAAGAGGAAGAAGAAATTTAATAAATTTTTATTTACTTGATCATTCAGTCATACTACCATGATTTATATCGCAAATTTTTTATGCTTAAAGCGAAAATATTCGCATTTCATATGCGAGAAAAATTGCTAATTTTAACTTCTGCTGATAAAGTTTAATTAGTGAATTTTAATCTGTGCTTTTATTTATTAAATCCGACTTTTTTGCAGTTTTAGGCGCACGTGGTATCCTATAATATGGCATTTTATCCAAATTTCTTAATTTATTTGTCTATTATCAGGACTTATTCATCATCATCAAAATATATCTGGGCACCTGGGGCCGTTAGCGCCTTTTCCCCATTCATCTTGAATTGTGATCTTTAAGGTGGGTCTTTCTGGTAATTGGAATGCAATTGGAGCAAAAGAAAATTAAATATTTTGTATTTTAGTTAAAATTACGTCACTACAAAAATGAGCTGCCATCGACCTGTGGTTTATGTCTTCTCTTAAGTTTTCAAAAGTAAAAAATTCATTGAATCCTGCGGTGTCACAATTTATGGTCTTTTCAGAAAATCTGAGATTTAGCTTCGCAATATGATGATCTAAAAAATCTATGTTGAGGTCGCGAAGAATGTTTTTATTTCGGATAAACCATCTTGCTTCTGTTATTTTAGGACTCATTATTAATCCAAATTTAAATAATTATACGATACTTTTAAGATATTTTATGGTAGAAAGAATTATTTTGTTAATTAGATTATTTTGTAAATTAGATCCACTTAACCCGTTTTGCCCCGAATTTATATATTGAAATGACACAAAAAGTGGTTTTATGGAAAAAGTGGTACAATATATTATCGAAATTAATTGGTTTTTCCACTGTTAGAGCATTCAAAAAGTCTTTGATAGATTGAAAAGTACTTGCTCCTTATAATTCTAGATCTAATCAGAAATAACTAAATCATCGTATCTGAGAATGTTTTACACCCAGAAAAATGAAAATACTGAAAAAAGATTTCCCATCACAATGAATGTCTTTGAAAAAAAGGAACTGTCCTAAATATATGACGCTAAGGGTTACCCGGTTAATTTGCGCAATTCTTTACCATCTAGGTTTATATTAAATTTTGAAACATTCTGTAACTACCAATGTTTAATAGCAGTTACAATATAATGTAAACATTGCCCATTTAAACAATTTATAGTTCATGAATTAAATTTACATTCATATATATATATTAATTATAAATAAATAGCGGTAGTCAAAGCTTCCAAGTCAAAGTTTTCCACTCCCACATGTCAAAAATACAAAGCCTTATATGATACCTTTGTTGTTATCCTCTAGTGGTGAAATTCGTTAAGAATTTGCAAAAATGTCCCTTAATCCTCAAGTTTTACTTTTGCTACCACTTTATAAAAACTTTTTCAGAAAGCGGAGCATTTGGTATCCATACCTGACTGATTTTATGCATTTGCGATGAAATTTTATTTCTATGTTTAAAGTGGTAGTAAAATATAGGCTTTCTATATATTCCTTGCATTTATAAACTTAATTTACAACCGTTACACCGTTTAAAAAGTAAGTACAATTAGTCAAATATTTGCAACTTTTAGTTTGTAGTTGTTTACCGCTTTTTGAATTATTATGGCCCGTCCGGAGCAGTTGGCATCTCTGAAATTACAGCGTATGTTTCTGTCTAAAATTGTAATTTAAATTATATTTTAATACTACTGGGGAAAATCATCCTTGAAGGGATTAAAAGCTGGCAGGTATGGGTATACCAGAGATGCCAACTGCACCGGACACGCCAAAATAATTTAAAAAAACGGTAAATAACTACGAACTAAATTTTTCAAATAATTGACTATTTTTGCTCGCTTTTTAAAAGACATAGCATGACATAACTACTATAAAGTGGTTAATTATATAAAACTATGAATTATTTAGAAATAGTGGTGGATAAAAATCTACTAATTTAAATTTATTAAACCAAAAATCACAATTGATAAACTACCACTTTAATATATTTATTTGCTGTCCGGAGCAAGTTGGCATCTCTGGTATACCACAAACAATCCCTCGCTTATATATTTTATTGCGATTAATAATCGTGGTAGACATGAGTATTTTAATCTTTCGTAATACATGCTAGCAAAGAAATTACTTTAAAGGCAAATTTATTTCATTCTTGGTAAGGCTGCATGTAGAGAATTTTTTTCGCCTCGTCCAATCAAAAGAAAGTTTTTTTAATTTTTGAAATTTTTTTCTCAAGTTTTAAAAAGGTTTTAACAAAGTTAGCATTTACCAATCTTTAAATTTGACTAAAAAACTCAATATATTGTAATCATCCATTATCTTTTATATGGTTGAAATATCTGCTGTTTAAAAAAAAAATGAATTATTGAATCAGAATACCGATGAACGTACATAAATCTTACATTTTACAACTTGAATTCCAGGGAAGGGAAAAGATAAAAGTCAGGTCAATTAATATAATTCTTTTTGACTAAACTGTTAAGTTCTAGACTAATCTCATTTACCGCTGATAATTGAATTGGAAGAAACACGCTGTCATTTTGAAACAATGGGATAAATATATCTAATTAGATGAGTCGAAAGATTAATAATTAAGAGTTGTGTAATAGTTGACATCTCCGCAGTAGTAAGTAAAAATGATTAAGACATATGAATCGAACCAATTGGATTGAAGGTTGCAGTAGCCTCTACGTTATTTTTACT